TTAAATTATGCTTATCTTTCTTGTGCAGCTTGTTGCTGCCTCCAAAGAAAACACACACATTCGGCCCAACCCCGGTGTACTCCGATCCGCTATGCCTGTTAGTCCCGCCCCTTAACCAGTCACAATTTTAGAAACGTGACTGCCATCTACATGGACGAATCATGGCTTCTCCAAAAATAAATATCATAGTCTGTCACAGCTCAGGGTCAGAGGTTACCCTCTTAAAGTGCTATTCACCTTTTAACTCAAACGCAGGGGTTACATAATATATATACAGTATATAGCATTTTATACGTATGCTCCATGCCAGGGGGGCCACTGGGGTGGCCACCCATTTTCTTATGGTGCTTTCAGACCAAAAGCGAAGTGAGCGTTTGGGGCGGTGAGTTTACATGCAAAGTCAATGCAAAGACACATATAGCCGCGATTTCCTGTCGGGCGGCGCAAAGCGACGCGAAGGCAACGCAAAGGAATTCGTGTGAGTTGAATATTTTCAACTAAAGCGAAGAAGTTGCATGATGCTGAGTCGCGATAGCCTATCAGTGCCTATCACTGTTGAGACTGTCAGTACGTCACCGAGGCTTCAGAGCGTTGTGTGGAGAGGGCCGGGCAGAGCGGGGCATTGAAAATCTGCAGGCCGGCTGAGAGCTGCTAAACTTGGGGGAGAAGAGCAGGGAGCAGTGCTGCAAACATTGGACAAATAAACCCCCGTAGTCAGTTGGATTCTGGTCTTACAACTACGCAGTTTACTCATGGGAGGAGCTCGGAGTAAACTGCTTTTATTAAATTATCTTTTTACTTTAGTTTTTGGGATTTCAACGTTGATTTATCTTCACTGGAGCTTCTCAGCAGCTTCCGTGCACATCCGGCTCCAGTGTTGTTGTTAGCGTCGTTAGCTCTGTCGGACTACGACTTCATATTTATATAAGAACCGGACAAAACTGGACATTGCTGGGAGAAAAGAAAGCGAAGAGGTTGAACTACCTGGTGAGTTCAGAAAACATGTGTCTGTAACTTTATTCCAGCTATCATTGTACTTTACGGTGACCAAGTTAGCATAGCATAGCCCTGATCGATCCAAACTCCATTCAGAAAACAAACATTTTAGAAGTTGTTGTCCTGCTGTCTTGTTGTCCTGACAAAGCATGAATTCATATGTTTAACAAATCTGCATCATGTTGTAGTTATTTCTGCATCAGTTTAATCCGTTTATTGCTATTTAATCACAGCAAAATGTTTACTTTGGGTTCGGCCACTTTTGGTGTTCGGCCTAATAAGTCAAAAGACCAAAGAAATTTTACCGAACAATTACGTTGACATGTCGGCAGTGTGGAAGCATTTTAAAGGGTCTGAGAAAGATGCAAAAATTGCCATTTGCAGACACTGTTCTGCAGAACTGTCTCCTAGTACATCCACTCCGTCTGTGGCTGACTTTTTAGAAAAGGCAACAAACGGTCTGACCCGCCTTGAGTGATTCTGTCACTCGTTTATGAGAAGGCGATTAAGCTAGCCGCACCTAAATTTGGAGTGCACACGTATTCACGCCTTTATGGTAAATCCACTGAAACGGACCAGTGCGAGCTGACAGGCAGGTTAGTGACTTTATCCTGTCAGTTTCTCTCTTTACAAAGACAAGTGTTGAACTATGAGAGTCCTAACTGAAGAGAGGCTGTGAAGTCGTCATGTTACGCAACATGAGAACCACATACAATATTATTTATCAAATTGCGTCGGACACATGTGGATAGACAACGTCCGTTTTTCAAAATAAGGTGTCTATACAGGATGGAAATAAGATTAATTGGATTATATTCACAGAAAGTATAAAACATATTACATGTGTGCATTAAAAGTAAATGGCCTTAGACCCACCCCCCATAGTCTCTCCGAATCCTGTGGGAAACACTTTTTGGTGCATCCCTAATAAAGACATATACATTTAAAGTCAAGAAAGTACTCACTTCATGCACAGCAATCAGCATGATCAGGGCAAAAAGAAATTCCAAGAGAAACACATAAACAGATAGAGAAAACAGAGAGACAAAAAAAGAGAAAACTAAAGGATTTTTGAAGCAGTGGCCAATATTGATATGAGGCTAATAATTACATAAACACAGAACATAAACAAAATATTTTTGAAATGGGTTTGACCTAGTAATTGTGTGGGTGTAAATAGACACATTTAACATAAGAAAAATAGGCTTCTTATCAAACTTAAATAAAAAAGAACTAATAATAATCAATATTATATTTACAACTGGAATGATGAATCAATCAACAGAAAATAAATCTGCAACTATATGATATGTATGAGATATATATGTTTTGGACAAGCCAGTTTTAGGACTATAATGATCTTTTGATTACACTTATAACAGCCTGCGATGACTAATAATGTATTAATTTAAACCTTTTTTCAGTACCTTTTTGTTTCTTTCTATGCAATGAAAGCTACTGAGAATCATTTTTCAACCATTATATACTGTTTGTCAACAGATTAGGGCTGAAACAATTAGTAGGTGGAGAGAGAATTAATCAGCGACAATTGTGATAATCAATGAATCATTTGTCAGTTGTAGTGGTTCTTCTCAAATGCACAATGGAGGTCAGACAAAATATCTTTTTGAATACATTACCTTGCATTTGTTTTGCATATTGTATGTATTTTGTGTTTACCGCAATTTCTTGTTATTTGAAGACCGACATATATACGCTGATAGTGATATATCTGTGAAAAGTAAGAATCAGCCAATAATATCGGTACAGTGCATACATCGGTAGGGCTCTAGGGGGAAAAAGTCTGAAAGCTTATGGAGGAGAAGTTTAAATGTGTCCACACAGAAGATATAATAGCAGTGGCTGTGACAGCAGTGCGTCTATTTTACATCAACAGACTCAGACCAGCTTATACATAAGTTCATTAGGCACCTACTTACCATGAAAAGGCCACCGTGACCACAAAACAACCCACCACCCACACTGTACCGTTTGTCTCTCCTCTCAGTCTTAACCTCCTACCTCTCTCTCCCACACACACACACACAGTTCTGTTTAATCAAAATAGACCTGCCCTTCAGCACATTTACATGTCTCATAATGGGTGAGACTCACTACGGAGCCCGTCATTACGCGCACCATTAAAACACAGCAGTAGACTAATCTAGCGCTTCCATAAGGGACAGCAGCAGTAGAAGCAGAAGGAGAAGTGGTAGAGGACATGGGAGTGGAGGTTGATAGGGGATGCTGCAGGAGGAGCTGGAGAGAAAGCAAAAGGAATGTGAAGAGGAGCAAGCAGGGAGGTGAGGGACTTTGAAGACTGGTAAAGAAGATGTAAGAGAATAAAAAGAGGAGAAGTTGATCTGAAGGAAGAGCAGGATGATATGCTTTCAGAGAGAAGAACAGAAAGAAGGTAGCATGGGTGCCAGTTAGGGATGTCGGATGTAGGAGCAATGGATACAGCAGGAGCAGAAGGTGAAGTGCATGAAAGAGCAGCAGGTGGGGCAAGAAGTGATGGTTGGGGAGGAGCAAAGGGGGAAACAGTAGGTGATGCTTGGGGAGAGGGAAAAAAAGGAGTAGGAGGTCATGCTTGAGGAGGAGCAGCACGAGTAGAATTTGATGCTGCATGAAGAGGAGCAACAGGAGGAGCAGGAGGTGATTCTTAAAAATAGGAAGCACACAGTAATTCTTGGGGATAAATGGCAGAAGGAACAATAGGCAATGCTTGTAGCAGCAGCAGCTAGAGCCAGACATTTGCTTGTGGAGGAGCGGGGGCTTATTCTGTGTGAGGAGCAGCAGGAGCATTAGTTAGTAAGGCTTTAAGGAGAAGTAGCAGGAGGCGATACTGCAGCAAAAGAAGCAGGAGGTGATATTTGGAGAGCAGCTAAGGGAGAAGTAGTATAGCTGATGCTTGGGGTGGAGTAGGATAAGCATATCCAAAGAGCAGCAGGAGTAAAAAATGTGATTCTTGAAGAGGAGCAGTGGCAGTGGGAGACGCATGTGGAGCAGCAGGAGCTGGTTCTGTGTGATGAGCTGCAGGAGCTGCAGGAGCTGCAGGAGGGTGATGCTTTAGGTGAACTAGCAGGAGGTAATATTTGGAGAGGTGCAACATAATAGCCAGAAGTTGATGTTTGGATAGGAGCAGGGGGAGATGATGCTTTGGAGGCAACAGCAAGAGGATCAGGAGGTAATGTTGGGGAAGAGTGAGAGAAGGAGAAGTAGGGGATGTGGCAGCAGTTATATGGAGTCACTGAGCACCTGTGAGCTATAATTATGCTTCACTTTGCCTCTCCAGGTGAGCAGCAGCGTGTATTAATGGAGCTACAACAGTGCACTCAGGAGGGAGAAACACAGTAATGTGCATCGTACAGTATCATGGAACATTACAGATCTTTAAGTGGTTTAAGATTATGGATGATACACCTGATATAAGTGAAGTCTCTACAAATACAATGCTCTATAATAACAAATGTATTTAGAATAAACAGTGTTATGTTTTTTCATGCTACAGTATTCTGCATAATGTCCCTCAAGATTATTAAAAGGCAATTTTGGTATTGAAAATATTTTAGATTATATTAATGTAGAATAAACAACATGTTTTAGATCTAATTTATTATTTTTCATTTGTGACATACAGGCAATTAGACTCTTTAAGCTCCAATGAGGCACCGTTGCATTCCTGTACTGTCCAAAATTCCACTGCTGAAACACAATTAACCCTCATATTAAACCTCAAACTTGCCCAGTTAACACTGACAAACAAGAAAAGTTCTTAACCCTAAAGCAATGTCACTTAAATATCACAATATACCTGTCTGTTGGAAAGCTCTGGTTAAGTTAAACTCTAAGTCTATAAGGATATTACAAGGATATTTTTATTTTTGGATACTGGATACTTTACAGGGCAGCTTTGCTTTAACCACAGTTTGTGCATTAATTAATGCAAGCATTTCCCCTGCATAATCTGAACACTGAAAAATGTCCCTTCTTTGCACACTTACCTTCCACAGCGCAGACCGAAGTAGTCACACAGAGAAGCACCGCGACCCAAGTGGCCGGCATGGCCAAAATTATTCCCCGCCTGTCCCCTCTCATTATCCGGCTGACAGAAAAGAAAATCCCTCAGAAACACGCAGTATTCCTCTGGTGAACAGTCACATCTCAGCTCTCTTGTGTGTCTTTGTGTTTGTGCGCGTGTGTCAACGGGGACTGGAGCGGATGAACTGCTGGTGGATCTATCTCTCTCTTTCTCTCTCTCTTCTCAGCCTTCTTCTTTCTCACACCTTTCTGCCCAATCAGGAGAGAGCATGGCAGATTGTAAACCAATCACCCGTTCCTTTCCATCTGGACCGGCTGACTGCCCAATGGTCAGGTCTCCCCCGCCCAGGCATCGTGGTTTTGTGACAGGACAGCGACACCCAGCGGTCAAACTGCAGTACAGCAATTAAACAGTAATTTAAAGAGAGGCTGCTACTGATCCCCTCGGGGACATGTGTGAATGGCTCGTGCCTCATTATGATAGGATGGGAGTTGTGGTCTTTTTCAAGGGTCTTTAAGCATGGTACAGTAATAACATTTGTTACTGGTAATATAGGTAGACCAATAAGTGCCTCCTAATGTTCAGCCATGTCTTATACAAGAAGAACTAACAAGTTAAAGATGGACTCAGGGCTTTTTACAAATTACTACTACACAACGTTGACATGTTTGAGTCTTCAAAACAAAAACACAGTACCTCCCTTTTTCTTCTTCAGTACACTACTTTTTATTCACTAGATGTTTTCCGCTGTCTTACCTTCATCAGGATTGAGGTTGTTTCCAATTACATACAGGCCATGTGATCATTCATGTGACTTGTTGATCACCATAGAAATAAATATACAAAACATTATTATTATTATTATTATTATTATTATTATATACAAATTATAATGTTGCTTTGTATATTTAGTCTATGTGATCTATAAATTGACTATACCGTTGGTTCAGTCAAAGTTAAGATCAGCTCACAATCATAGTGCATTAATTGATAGGAGCCCATGTCATATCAAGCCCACATCAGCTGACAGCTCAGCTGATTTCCTTCTTATCATTCATAGACAAAGCCCTACAAGGTGCCTTATTCAAGTCGCTCTAGCCTGCTTACCCTTGCTGCTTTCTCTGCAAGCCACTTAGAACCCACCGCCGTCACAGTTCGTCCTTCAAGGCCATTCCTGTCCAATCAATGTATTTCTGTATTTATTGATGCTAATCTGTTCTTTACCCTGGTGATCTTTGCTGCTGCTCTCTCTGCTTCGGACTTTCCATGTATGCATGTGATCTCTAAGGCTTTTCCACATTGGCACATGGAAGGACAGGGTTAGGGTTAGAATGCATCCTAAACTGTATGACATTGCATTATTATTAAACACAGACCAACCAGTAATCATCGGTGGTAATGCCAGACCCTGCAGCATTGAGCATCTCTACATTATAGTCTCTGGATTTTTAGATTTTATTCTCTAGACTCTGACATTTAGCTACAAAAGGTCAAAACTTACTGTCTGGTTTCAAACTCTGGGTTATTGTTCATGTTCTCCACCAGCGTTAAATCCCCTATACATCTATTGATCACCTAAAGAGATGGGTTTTTAAAAAAAACTGCTCTCAGGGCTGTGCATGTGTTTGACTTTAATTCATAGTACCTGTTTGGGGTGAAACAGTCTCCATCATTCTTAGAGGCATTTTTTCACAGAAGACCTTTTGATATGTCACAGCAAGAAAACCATATGTGTAATTAATAACATTAATAATGACTGCAATCTAGCTTTACCTGTGCCAGGGCCCTGTGGTGCACAGTGGCTTACTGACATGGCTGATTGATATACCTAAATGGAACAGATCCATCTTTAATAGTGTAAATTACACATGTGCTTTTCCTGCTATGACAAAGTCAAGTCAAATTGTCTTCTGTGGAAAGACAAAGGGTTTAAACAGTGAAGCTGACCAAAGCCTAAATGGAGGGTTACATGTAGGCCCAAAAATAATGTCAGAACCCTGCAACATCCCATCACACATGTCAAGAGATGTAACCGTATTGTTTAGATACGAAGCTCTCAGGGAATCTAAGTCAGTGATGCTATGTTGGTGTTTGGCAAATGAGCCTTGTAGGTGGGCTAATTAAGCAGAGTCACAATCCAAGTCAGAAAACACACTGAACCAAAAGACTTTTTGCTGTCACAGTGGGGTGCAGCACGGTGCAGCCGTGGTTCTTATAGGAAGTAGCCATGAAATAGTATTACATAGGACCAAAATTGGCTTCGCTACTCTCCATTCAAACCGGGCAGGTGGCTTTTTTGATGACCTCAGCACAGCTCCCCCAAACTTCAACCCGAATGGTCTAATCAGCCAGTGTAAGTGAAAACACCTGTGGGTGTGAAGGTCTTTAATTAGGTTAGTTGTAGTCAATGATAACTTTAACCCTTTAACATCCCTTCCCCTTTTGGAGATGGTCCATTTACATTTAAACAAATGAATAAGTTAACCCTTGCGATACGCAACATTAAGTTTTCGAGGATTTAGTACACTAATGGACGGCCCTGGATCAGGGGGTCTTTTTGAAGGCGACCACAATTTTTTTGACCCTCTGCAACAGCTGTAGCAACAATCTGAAAGTTTTTAATGATAACTGCAGTATGAAAAGGAAAGACTTCACTCAGTGTTCCTGAAAAATATAACTCGGATACATTTCAGCCCCTGATGGCCTTGGATCAATTTACTTTTTGAAGTTTCTGTCCTGTCTCTCGCCTCCATCTCCTGCAACGTCCTGTCTCTTACAAGGTCTTTATAAAGGGAAAAGGCTGCACAACAACACAGCAGTACAGATCATGCAGTGACATTGCATTTTCCAGCCCAGACAGTCCATTTGCAGTCTTTCAAGATGACATTTCACTTGTTAACAGCTTTTATGACACCACGCCATGTACCACTACAACAGTCGCCTTTATTCAGTGGTTACTGCATCCTGTTCACGTTGATCAGTATCTTATTGAGTTGTGTATATGTCTATGTGTATGTGAGAGACAGACAAAGAGGGAGATGTTTCTTATCTTAAAGCCAGCAGCTGGAGTCATTTCAAATCGTTTAGAAAACACATCAGAACTGAGTCTGTTTCCTTTTAAAACCACAGGTGGAGATCCAAAAATCAATTCTAGACTTGCTTGCTGCCACATGAGCAGAACAATCACATTTGAACCGTATCCACAGTTAAGTTAATTTGTGCAGCAAGAGTTGTGGAACCTTTTGTTCTGAAGTAACTCTCACTTGGGGGACTCAAAATGGTGAGTAAACCTTGATAATGGTCAGGCAGTTCAGGCGTCAATAAATCTTCTTCATGTCTAGACACAGCCAAGAAAAACCAACAGTCTGGTAGACTGTGGCTGCCACACGTGTCCTACCACATCTCAGTAAAATTCAGTTCAGATTCTATCTTTACTTCCACATGACACACAATTACAGGACAAGACACTTTTCAGGAAAGACCCGTGATGTAGAAAGAGTCAATTCAGCCAGATGTTCAGATCAGGATCCGATCAAAGATAAGGTACTGATTTTGAGAAATTAAACATTTAAGACTTTTCCATCATTTAACAACAGAAACTTGTAGTCAACTCTTTGTGGCTGTGTATGTGTCTGCTGCTCTGTTTCATTATGTTGTATGTATCAGGACAATTAATCATTCATTAACTCCAAACCCTGTGACTGGTGCAGGATTGTCATCCCCACACACATAGCCCCATTTTTCTGTAGGAGGGCCACATGAGGCTTGTCAAGGCTTCTTACCGAGAGCTATATGTTTATTTATAGCTGTAGTGCAGCTGGCAAGTTATACAAAATGAGCAAAATAATCCTAGATTGTTCTTATTTGGAGTGGGATGATGTCTGTGAGTGAGTGTGGCCCTGCTTGGCCCTGCTTGGCCCTGCAGTGGAAGCAAAGCCAAGGAGTGAATTGTGACCAAATCTGGCAGCCACAGAGCATCAGGCACCGTGTTTGAAGACGAGAGCAACTGATGCTTGGTCATATCTCTGTGGCTAATGGATGGGTTCCTGGATACATGTACGAAAAGCTTATGACTTCACAATGGGAGGAACAGGGAGGCCTTGCAGGGATAATCCACTGATTTAGTACTGTACTTCCATAACATTTGGTATCTATCTATCTATTTATCTATCAAGAATAGCACTAGGGCTGAAACAATTAATGGAGAAAATTGAGTAACTCAATAACTAAAAAAGCACTGATGCAAATTCTTTCCTATGATGCTTCGTTTAATTCATATAGCTAACTATATACAGTGCACTATTTTGCTTGGATGAGTAATACTGTCACACAATGGATTTACCCTGTGGACAAGTGAAGACGACATGAGAGAAAATAGTAAGGGACAGAGAAAAAGACAGTAAGTGTCCAAAAGTATGGGATTATTTCAATCTAAATGAAAACAACCACTCTGTACAGTGTTTCTACTGTAAACAGAATTAGCCTAACACAACAGCATGATGGCAATGCTTCAGCGTCTGATCAGAAACCATCCAGTTTATGCATCGACTCCACCGAGTAGACCCAAAACAAGGTGATGGTAATGTTAGCATTTAACGTAAATCATAGTAGCTAGTAGAGATGAAGGCTAACAAAGGTAATTCTTAGTTGTAAATGTATAACTGTTTTGTTTGTTTTTATTGTTCTCCGGTTATAGTTAATCCATGAGTTTGGGTTGTACAGTGATATCAGACACATAGCTGATCCCAGTACCGAAGGCGCCAAGAAAAAGCATTTCTTATCCGATTACTCTGTAAATCGATTGAATAATTTGTAGACTATTCGATTACTAAAATGATTGATAGCTGCAGCCATAGTTAGCACAAAACACAGAAGTCCAGCTGCGGCTGATAAAAAATTAATTAGTTTTGCAAGTATTTTATCATAAACCAATGGACACATTTAAATTTGACCTGATGATGTGTTATAGATCCTGGGGGCACAGTGAAAGCCTCTTACCAAATTTCATGGCAAGCCAATAGTAGATATTAGAGCCATGCCTCTAGTGTGGCTAAAATGGTTAAACTTGAAGCTGCAGAGATATCCTGACTTTTAGTCCCTAGTATGAGTCAAGGACCATAAACTCTGGATCCTACATTTGCCATAATGCAACTCAATAGCATCATTTTGTCTGACCCTCTCTGCCTGGTATACATAAATGTCTTTCAAACTCAATGCCCCCAGTTTGTAATGGAGGCTTTCTGTTTTAAATGTTTATTAAAATGGTTTAGCCTCCAAACCCAAGCTGATGACATCCCCATGACTACAAGTGGCTTATTTTCTCAAACTTTAGAAAGCTCCCTTCAAAGCTGCAGAAGGCATTTTTTTTACACACGATCAGCAGTACACCTCAAGATGAGTCAAGTGCCCTAATAGTGTAAAATTGGTGGAGTGCCCCTTTAAATAAAGATGGAAGTTCTTCTTAATGGATATTAGTCAAAAAAATTAAATCAAAATATGCATGGCAAAAATCACTGCTACAATCAAATTGAGTTTAATAAATGAAATGTGTGATTAAATACATTGATGGATGAAAATCAGCTTAATACACAACCCCAGTGTGTGTCAGTGTGTGTATCTGCAAGAGACATTTGTGAATCAGGAGTCCCATATGTACCAGTATAATAGTGTTGACTGAAAGAAAGGCATGCCGAGTAAATGATTTGTCACTGATGTTGTCAATATTCTGCAAATATCCTGTACTGTATGTACAAAAAAGAGAACATTTAAGGAAGTGAACTGAATACCATTGTTTTCTTTTAACATTGTGCAGTTACAAAACTTGCTGAAAGAGTTGTCAAAATGTTCAACGTAGTTGGGGCAATGTCTGCTTTAAAAAATCATTTAAAAAACAGTGAAATAAGTGCTTTGGTTTTACCTATTATCAGCTGCTGTGTTGATTCTTGACTTCATTTGAGTCACTCACTTAATGCAGGTATGCGTTCAACAAGTCTTCCCCAGAAGTGTCAAAATAATTGTGTAGTTTTCTGTCTTCATTGCAGGAAGAAACAGGACTTAAGGAAACTGCTTGTCTGTGCTTTGATGAGACTACTTATTTCTTTACAAAGTTGTTAAAAAAAAGCAGTTGTTTCCTTTTGAAATGGTTGGGTATACAGTGAAGTGAGGTACAATCTTGCAATCAGAACATCTCATACATTTCAAAAGTGTGATCGTTTTTCTGCAATATTTCAAACAAATCCTACTGAATGTATCTGTTTATGCCAACACACACCAACACATCTGGACGACATCACAGATTATGGGGGATTCATTGCCAATATAGTATTACACTGTACATTAATGGCTCAATATGGTGCCAGGTTTTTCGCTAATGTACACAAACATTTACAACTTAAACAATGTTTTTTATGGTAGACGACCTCGACACGAGTTAAAAAAATTGAAATAAAATTAAAAAGTCTTGTTGAATGCACCACATATCAGAGCACTAAACATTTGAGCTCTCCCACCTGCTGACTGGAAACTGGCGCTAAATGGACCTGATAGTGTCAATAAACCACTATCAATATCCCCTTTATTATCTTTATCATCATCAATCATCACTCTCTTCTTCGTCACCTCTTCAGGCTTTTTCCATCGTCATTACAAGAATCCATTGAAACCAGCTCAACAAACTGAATCACACCCAAACTAAGACATATTAAAACCGAGCAAAACATAATGAAGGATATTGTCACTTAAAATCTTTTGCTCCTCTTGATCAAAGAAAATGTTGTCCATTCATTCCCCAAAATGTCTTTTTTGGCAAAGTAAGGTCCCAATCTTCCCCCCCACCAAAACTCTTTTTGTCTGTCCCATGGTTCAGCCCTGCTCTAGACTTCAGAATCTGATTGGAGACAGCGGCAGTCCATCATCGCTGAAGCAGTAGGATGGCCAATGGGAGCAGAAGTAGGAGGCTACAGAGGCTCGTTTGAAACGTGGCTGCGCCTCTGACTCGGTTGTTGTCTGGTGAGTAGGCGTACAATCCTGGTCTGTTCCGGGGACACTGACCACCTACGCACATCCCGCTTCCTGAGCCGCTGATGTCATCACCTTGGGAGGTCATTACAGAGAGACAGAAGACACTTTTAGACTCTATAGGAAATTATTTATTATTTCATTTTTTTAAAAACAGATGAGAAAGAGTTTTGCTTTTCGTGTGAAGAAAGATGAAACCTTCAATTGTGCCTGATAAGCTCCCACTTTTCAGTTTGTAAGTGGTGGAATGATGAATGAATGGATTAATGTTTTAGTTAAGTTTATTAGTCATTAGTAACACACTGTAAGAAACACTAACAGAATGGACAAGGTGTCTCATCTATGAAATACTATCACTGTAATGTACTTCATACAGTACAAATATTAGAAAACGACCCACTTGCATCTTGAAAGTCCACATCATTGCCATCAAGTGCATTTTTCAGCCTGTTGCTCATGATTTTGAGTTGCATGATCTGCTGCCGGATGGTCATGTCTGGCTTTGTGATATCAAGCTCCACTTCTGGGTTGTTGATCTGATTGGCCAAGCCGTCACCCATCACCTCCGGAAGGTACCTGATGAGATGAAGAATGTGGGTCAACATCATTCAGGCAGTTCTGATTTTAAAAAGACAGCTTTACATAAAATATGTGGTTAATGAAATGGTAGTTTTTTGAAGCACAACTCTTTTGGAATATTTTGTTTACTTGAAAATACATGCCTGCACTCACTCAGTAAAAATGTACAGCTGTGTATAATTTTGTAAATCAGATGTAGCATTTTGTGCTGACAACAACTCACACAAGCAAACAAACGCACACACATACTCGTATTTCTGCAGTTGAGGGTACCCTGTAACATTGCTGGAATCACGATGGACAGTTTTAAAAAAAAATTATCAACACTGATGCCGCAGAACCAGAGATGCTGTCTTTTTATTCCATGCATTGTTTACCTTGTCAAAACCTGGCACATCCAGTACCCAGAAGTTCGAATGGAGATACATATGTGTTATGCTAGTAGTGGCTAATGTTGCCTTGAGCCGCTAGCCTGAAGCAGAGATGAGAAGCGGGCTCTGGTAAAATCACTTCTTTCCAACTCCACACCAAGATTTATTTTCATTTTCAAACTTTTAGTCTTCAGCCACAAATGAAGCTGACATAGATGACATCACTTAAAGCAACTTATCAAATTTCATAGAGCTTCCTCTGGAGCCACAAAAGGCTTTATACAACATTTCTCCCCACCATCATATCAATAAGAATATTTATCTCATACATCCCACAATACATTGCTGTCTTTCACTGTTAGTTGATACAAAACTCAACACATATAAATCAGAAATCTTCATAATTAATTTTTATTTGTCTAATTTGTCCCCCATCTCTTTATTGGAAGCACATCAGTTATTGGGCAGTGTAGACAGGAGAAATGATTAAAGCAAGCAAGACCTGAGCTGAACCTGCTACTCCCAAATGTCCCTTTAAGGAAGTGATAAGTAGAGTAGTCTAAATCACTTTCAAAGAATGCCTCAAATTAAGTTTAAAATTCTTTGACCTCACAAATATAGAGTACAAACACACATGCACAATGTGCTTAATGGTGGGATTTAATTTAGGTTCTTATGTAAACTCTATCCTCCAACCCTATATTTCATCTTCCACACCGAGAATTTATTATAGTTGTAATTTTATGTGTGACATTTATTGAGCTCTCAAGAAATCCACAAGATGTCGCTGTAAAGTTTCAAACAGTCCATCACAGTTATAATTCACTCTCTGCCACACCGACACAGACGAATTTCATATTTCCTTAATCTGTCACACACAGTCAGGGATTCATCTATATTTCATGGTCTTTCTCACATTCCGCTCTCTCTCGCTCTCTCTCTCTCAAACACACACACACACACATATATATATATATTTCATGCCTTTTTACTGTCGTACTTCTGAGTGTTCTGCTCAGCATAAATCTCATCAGTTGGCTTTAATCCAACCATTTTAAAGGGTGTGTGTGTGTGTGTGTGTGTGTGTGTGTGTGTGTGTGTGTATGTGTGGAGGGGATCACACAACATGTATACATATCAACATGGCATCAAATTACTCTATAATCCATTTACACATGGATTAAGGAAGACTGAAAGATGTACGTGGGTGTATAACTGTGTGGCCATGAATGCTTATGCTGCAGGATGTCAGTTCATCACACCCTACAATAAATATCCACACAACGCAGTTTTTCAGTTTGCCTGAGAGGAAATCGGTTGTCTTTTGTTATGACACAAATGATACAAATGGCCTTCAACAAGAAGAGAACTGGCGTGTATCATAGCAACTTTAGTTGTCTCTTCTCCCTGCTTTATTCTCTTCACCCAGAAGTCTCTTTTAAGGACTAAAGAAATGTTTCCATGCTGAATAAATAAAACTAATGTTTTTTTTCCAACACTCACAAAGCTCTTCTGAAGAGGACAGAACTGGAAAATGAACAGACTAAATGTGAAAAATACTGTTAAAATACTCCTGAACATGAAACACAGGGAGGTGTTCAGTTGTTTTACAATACAAGCTTTGAAAAGGTAGAGCAAATCATGTTATGTTGATTGCTTAGGTTTAATAAAATCTAGTCAAACCATTATCTAGTCTGGAGAACAGGTAGGCTGGATTTGGCTGGTGCTTAAAGTCACATTCAAACCTAAGTAAGCTTGTGATTGGCCAGTGACAGCCTGTTTTCCTGGAGCAGGTTCTCTTCCTCACCTGGCTTTAGTAATGCCATTCCAGCATTTATCCTGACCACTGCCTCCTGCTGCCAATTTGCTGCAAATTGCCACAGGGAGCTGCACCCAATACTGCCGCATCTCCCTCAGCTTACTGGACAGATCTGACACCTGAGAACAGAGACAATGTTTTTTGTTTTGCATGTCACAGATGAGTCTCAAGTTCCAAGTAACATTTAATACCCTTTCAAAATGTCAACAAATACTAAATACAAAAGAATTATGTAAATTTCACCTTTTTCTAACTTCACAAAGGCACTCAAATGCAACATATACAATAAAAACCCGGGATGTAGACGCCACATAAAAAACAAGTGGCAGCCAGAAATTCAGCTGTTTTCCATGAAATAATAAATAATTATAATAAAAAATTTTCATACAGAAAAAAATAATAACCATTTCCTCTCAATTCACTCTCAACATCTACACCTCAAACACCAAAGAGACATCCTGTACACTTACATCATATAAAATGTAAAATCAGATCAACAATCAGCTGTTATGACTTTTGTGGATAGACCTTCTCACATCCACATTGTTTCCTGTGCCCTTAAAATCATCTCTCCCCATTCAAAGAGTTAGACATATGCAAACATACAGTAGGCTATAAAGTACGTGCATGCACACACCTGCATCTCCAGTCTGAGACTAGCGGTCGGAGAGGGTTTGTACTCTGATGCGGTCAGGGAGCCGCTCTTCTTCTTCTGCTCATGAAGGGTGGGACTTCCTGTTCCTGGTTCACCTGGAGTTCCACACATCTGGTACACCTAAGCATTTACAAACACAACACACGTACTAGATGCTGTGAGCTGTCAAGTTTAACATCAAAAGTCACAGCAGCACTACAAATACCAGGTTAGTCTATATTGTAACCTTTGTGAGAACTAAAAATATCCACTAGAGGTCACCATAGCCGAGTGTTTCAAAATGTGAAGATAGGTGCATGCTGGACTTAAAATAGAGCATGCTGGTTAGAAATTGTTTCCGACTTTCGCTGGCGCTGCAAAACGTCACCATGTCACATGACATTAAAACCTCTTGGGAACAAGGTGGCTGCAGGTGCTTTTTTCCCGACCGCACCACCGGGCTGCTTGTTGCCATGTATGGGTACATGTACATGTTAATATAAACAGACATCAGCTGAGCTTGAAAATAAATTGCACTTAACAAAGTGTAAGAACAAAACAGCTTGGCTTAGAAAACAAGACCAAGACTCATTATAGCTGCACTCACTGCTTGTCCAATAAATGGACATTGATTTGTACAGGATACATCTATAAAATCAATAAAACCTTGTGGTGAGAAGTTGAGCCCATTTTCACTGGAGCACATTGTTGAGCTCTACCTAAGGTATCATCAAGATAAGTGCTCATTAAAAATAAGAATTCTCTCTCTCTGTATTATTTAGCTTATTCCTTGATGAGCAAATTGGACCAACAATCTGCAGAAGAGGTGAAAAGTGCAGGATTGCAGACATAAGCATGAGCTGGCCTCGAACTGCTCCCAGGGAAATTTAGTAAGTGATTAGAAAAAAGTAAGAGGTTTTACTTTTGCTGTGAATGTGTCCATGTTTTCCTGTAGGATGTGAACAGCCTCATAGATTCGAGCCGGGATAGAGGAGAGAACCACATCGAGACTGGGCTCCGTGCTGAAACTAGAGACCACCTGGATCATGGTGTCTGAATGGAGAAAGTAGCAAAAGAGAAGAGAAGGATTTTTTGATAAACGTAGCCAGTTTTTTGGGGGCCAAAAAATTTATTTGCTCCCATGACACTAAATCACAGTTTACCAGTACATAAGGTTTGCGTGATGTGGTAAGTATTAGTATTTAAAATCTATGTGTGTACTTTAAAATTATTGTAAGTAATACTAAAAATAAGCTGCTTCATTCAGTGCATGTTCATTGTTACACAGTAGGAAAAGAATATTCATCACATTGACTTTGAGACTTTCTCAGTCAAATTTAATTGAGGATCACAATTTTTTAAAGATCACGTTATTATTGACATTTATACACACATTTAAAAGCATGTATGGTTATTCCCGCAGTCTTTTCATCTGCTGCTGCATTCTTGTACTCAGTGGACCTCATGCGAGAACATTTCCGTATTCTTAGCCTAAATCTCTCTTTTACAGTAACTGGACAACCTTGTTGTAAATCACTTGTTTCAGCCTGATGAAAGCCAACTGTTCACGAGGAGGTGCACATTCTTGAGATTAACATAATCAACGACCCTGAAATTGCCATATAAGGCTATCTGTTTCACTCTGTGTGTGGACAAGTTTCATTCATAAACATGTTACCAAAGAGTGAGAATACGCTTTCAGAAATCAATATTGCAGTATCAGTATAGTGTGGTATAATACAGCTGTCAGCAACAATCCATCAGAGTAGTGCTGTATTGTAACAGACATAAAGAGGGAATGATTTAGATTACATTAAGTAAGACACTAAATAACGTATTTCTAAGCAAAGCAGTTCATAACTATTATCAGAGGTGGTCTTGTGACAGTCGCAGAGATATTGGACAGGATGATATTATAGCCTTGGTGGGTTATTTTACATTGTCAGGTGCAACAGAGGATCATACTGGACAGCAACTTGCATAAAACCCCTCAGGCAGCTGTTGAGTGAGAACTACTGTTCTGCTAAAATATGCAAACAAGATCATGAAATCTATAATAATGTGGGCAAGCCATGATGATAATGATAAGGTGAAAGGAATATTCTTATCGCATTAAGTTTGTCTTAGCTATATTTTATTTTAGTTAATTTTGGAATTATATTTAAACTGTAAAATCCATCAGATTCAGCCATTATTATTTCAGGTCAAATGCGTGTTTTTCCCTTATGGAGAATCAATCAAATCATCAGAATTATCAAATCTGTTCGCATGAGCGGTCTATTCCAGCGATCGGTTCATCCATTAATGAGAACATCTGGATTATCTGTAGCTTTACTCTACAATGTCTTATGTGTCCTGAATATTACCTATAAGGTTCTGCCACTCTGGGTCCAGGTCAGCTTGGTTGGCCAGGCAGCCCTTCATGACGTTGGAACAGTAGTTGGAGCAGGGTTTGACGGAGGCCATGCCGCGACAGTGTGGGCAGTAAACCAGCTTCATCAGGGCCTTCATACACTCTGGACTTAGAGAAACCTGGGGAGGTTTAATACGACAGTCATCACCACAAACCTTGGAGCCAGTAGTGAAAAAAGTATATTCATATAGAGAGTCCTGTTTCTTCCTTTCACTCTTGATTGCACTGTGGTATCAAAACATTTCCCAGGGAATTTACTCCATGATGGCCATGTAAAACACAATACAAATAGCCCAAGCAAAAAAGAACAGTAGAGGGCAGTATTGCAACATTACAGGGAACACAACCTGAACAATAAAGCAATGATGGCCCTCTTTGTCTGTCTTTATACAGTACATGGTTTCTGTTACACTGTCAGCTTCTGAGTATGTACGCAAGTCATGAAAGGTGTCCAGTTCCACAGTGGAGTTATTTTACCACTACCCCTGCTCTGATGTGATGTAGGGTCACTCAAAACCAAAAGCAACTCAAAAGACGATGGCAGGTAGTTAAGGTACCTCAGCAGTATGTTTGCAAGATTCAAGTTTAAATGTAATATGATGAATGTGATTTGATTATGTCATCATGCAAAAATTTCGTCACAGATGATTTTCAGTTGTATTGTGTACAGTTTTAGATATTTGGATGCAATTTCCTACTGGCCTTCACACATTTATTTCTATGCAGTATGAAAGTCAGTCCACACACTCATGAAAGTTTCTTGAGTTGTATAATCCATCACTGTCAACATCAAGTCCGCATTAATTCGTGTCAGTGCTACCTTATTGTTGTGTAATAATGTGGTTTAGGTGCTGACGGATTTAAAAAGTCTGCACTCGTAACGATATTCTACCTTTGCCAAAAACTGATGCAGACATGAGATTCACTGTGATAGATTACACAACTCAAGTTAGTTTTGAGAATGCGCTCTGATTATTACATCCTATGGAAATGAGGAGAAATTTATGGAGGCCTGTAACTAAGGAACTATACAATACAATTTCTAAAACACAGCAGAATCTTGTGCAAATTGAATAGCTGTGAACTGAATACTGTGAATATGTGAGTTGTGGAAAATAGGTTAAAACACAAACAATCACTGGTATGGTCCTTTTAAATTGCAGAATTGAGATGAAGCTATGCAGTAAAATCTAGCATTTTTACTAGGGCATAAATAAAGAAAGAATGGTGGTCAAACATTAACAATAGCCTTTTCACAGCAAAACACATAGAAGAAACAATCACACAGTCACATCAGACACAGACACTTTGAATGCTGGGAAAAATTGCATCGAGAGCTGAAAAAACATCATCACACCCATAATTTGACAAGAGCGTTTTCATCCCTCTAAATAAGAGCTTTGTTCTGATGGCAAGTCTGACACTTCATTTTTGATGATCTTTGTGCTTTCCAATTTTTAGGGTGGAGATATTTTCTCCGACAGTTAGGGTGTGACGACCATGCATCCATCATATCTGCTTTCCTGGGACACAGCCCAGCAGGTCTTAGTCTCACACACACACACACCAAATCATCCTGCCTCTCTCTCTGCCTCACGGTGTCTCTCCCTACGTCTCATGTAAACACACACACACACACACACACACACCAAATCATGCCTCTCTCTCTGCCTCACGGTGTCTCTCCCTACGTCTCATGTAAACACACACACACACACACACACACACACACACACACACACCAAATCATCCTGCTCTCTCTCTGCCTCACGGTGTCTCTCCCTACGTCTCATGTACACACACACACACAAACACACACACACACACACACACACCAAATCATCCTGTCTCTCTCTCTGCCTCACGGTGTCTCTCCCTACGTCTCATGTACACACACACATACACGCACGCACACACACAGACTCACACTCACACTCACCTGTGAGACCTTCCTGACCACCTCTCCACTGACTATCAGCCCCTGGACAAACGATCTGGCTGTGACAAAAGCTCGGATCACCTTCGCCTTCATGTCCCGGGGGACATCTCCAAATGGCCGCAGCGTCTCCTGTTGCTTAGCAACACATTCAAGGTAGTCATCTGACATGTTGACCTGCCAGACAGAGGTGACGGGGGAAAAATGCAGAAGTATGTTGTTATCTTTTGGGCCAGTTTTGCATATTAGATAGCATGCGGTATATATCTGACAGTAAAGGGAGGGGGGGGGGGGTTTGTAGATTGACTTTCTGCGTTTCCAAGAGCTCTGACTCAGAAGCTGCACTCCATCGATGAAGATTATGCTGAAGTTGTGGCCATTTTCTTTAAAAATCATGACATAGTTGTTATCAAACAAATGGATATTATACCACGTAGACTTCTCCTGGTCAGTTATTTTTATTTATTATTATTATTTTAATAAATAGATTATTAATGTCTCTACTGCACATGAGAAAACAAGGGACATGCAGTTACTCAGTGATTATTTAGTAGTTAAAAGTGTCCTGTGTGGTTGAATGAAAAAAAATGTTAAATGCCTGAGTAATGTTGACTTATTGCAGTTTTTCTCAATTGCTTAAACACTATAACCAGGCTTTTGAACTAAAATTTCAAAACCATAACTCCATCTTTCAAAAAGCACACCCATTTCCCTAAACTCTACACACAAATCCCTTCATTTCTCATTGCCTACACCATTGAGAAAACACTAACATTCAATATTGTTCACTCAATCAGCATAGGTTGAGCTCAATTAGCACGCAACTAAGGAGAAGGCGGAAGATGAGGAGGAGGAGGAAGAGCAGTGTGGAGAGAAGTAAGAGGTGAAGGAAGAAGAACAGTAGGAGTTGGAGGAGGAGATGGGATAGGAGTAAGATGAGGAGTAGGAGGAGGCGGACAAGGAGGAGGGCAGAGGACGGAGGAGGAGGAGAAGAAGGTTGAGGAGGTAGAGGGAAGAGGAGTAGGGAGGAGGAGGAGGGAAACAGAGGAGTAGGGAGAGGAGGAGGTGGAGAACAAAAATGATGGGATGCTGGGGCAGAATAATTTGTTGTTTGGTGTGTTGAACTATATAGCACACTAAGAAATAAAAAATGTGCAAATGTTTACATTTGTTATTTCTTTTGCTGTGTTCATCATGTGAAAAGGTTTTTGAGGGGGGGAACCACAAGCAACATTACTACTAACCAGTTTTTGTAGTATTGTTTTGAATTTCTCTCACCAGTGTGTAAAACTGTGTTGTAGTGAGTGTGTTTTTGAGGGCTTGTGTGTTATGTCTGAGGGCAAAGTTTGGTTTTTCAGCAAGATTGAATGGTTTTGAGTGGAGAGCTTCATTTTGACCTGAAATTAGGATGTTAGGGGGAACTGGGTGAGAAGTTGTGAATTTTTGTTTAGAGTTTCAAGAAAAATAGGCATAATTTCAAGAAATAGTCAAGAAAAAAAAAGTACAATTGAAAGAGATCATGTAGCAAAGGTACCAGGCCAGACTCAAGTCCAGGACATTGTGATTAAATGAACAGCCTCTTAAACCACAGGGCACCTGGGAGAAGTATGTAATTAAGAGAGATTTAAAAATGCTTCTTCTCTATATCGGCAGAACACAATCATCGCATGGTTATGCAATTTGTCACTATATGTGTAATAATAGATGAAAAACAATGCTGTAAAAGTGATGTATCTAAAAATGTAAATTTCATTGGCTTTTCACATTGTGCAAATGTTAACACATTCTCTTTATGAGCCAGAAGAAACAGGAGCTGAAGAAGAGTAAGTTCAGCTAGCAGCTGAACGGATCAAGAGAACTAGTTCACAAAATCCTTCACTGGTTTCGATTCAAATTCAAGTATTCCATTCAAATTACATTTTGTATAATTCACATGATTGTTATTGGGGTATTATTAAACAATAAACACATTAAAAATCCCACCTTTTTAATTCATAACATTGCTCGTTTCATCATTCTGTACTCCAGTCTCAAATTCAAAAATTGTGGCCTTCTAGTTGAACTTTCTTTACTCACATCGGTTGGAGTGGAGATTTTAAAGGTGCGCTCCAAGAGGCGGGACCAGAACTCAGACAGGGTCTCGTCCAGGTTTAGAGCAGAGCCTCGGTAGTACTGCCGCAAGTCGGTGTAGAGATCCCCATAGAGACGAGTGTTCTGGGAATACAGAGGGCCGAGTGGAGACAGCACCTCTTGGAGAGAGCGCTCAGAATTACCGTGCAGCTCAGTGAAAAAGGCTGGAGGAGGAGAAGCGAGACAAGGGGAGACAATAGACAAAGAAAAGATAGGAGAAGAAGAGTTGACAAGCAGAGAAGGAAAAGGAGGACAAGAGAAGAAAACAACAATGACCGAGATGAGCTGAGTTCTACATCTTTTGGTAAATGATGACAACTTTAATTAGGAAGGCTGAATGGAAACTGCAATATTTGATAATACTTAAAGCAACAATATATATATATTTTTATGTGATTTAGTGAAGATTGTCCACAACAAGCTGAACATCTACACAATTGTAACATATCATGGTCTTGTAAAGTTGATTTAGCTAATGTAAGTAGTTTTATAGAAAAAGTATCCAGTTGATAGCAATAACATGTTTATGGTGAAGAATGAATGAATAAGGAATTAGTTTGTTTCCTCGGGCCAATCCATCCGGACAGTTACATGTCTGCCCATCGTGATCGCCCAAAAATTTATTTTTAAAGGTTTCTTTGAAATTGTCTTTGCAGCCAGATGGATCCGAAGTGATAGAAAGCTCAAACAGAAAGAATAAGGAGTCAGCTAGCTGTTTCTGCAGTATACTGGTCTGGGCTTTTCCCTTGTGCTTCAAGGCTCTGGACCAGTGCCAGCCTGTTCAAACCAAAACCAGATGGGCGGTCACATTACTGCTACTGAGGTGGCCTGCTGCCTTGAGACTAATAATACTGTCCGCCTCCTCCTCCTCTGACTAGTCCTCCTACTGCTCTCTGTTTCTCTTCATTCTTTTTTCTGTCTTCTATGTTCCATTTTTACTTTGACTCACTGTACTATGACACATTTCTCACTGCTGCTTTGTCTATCTCCCTTTAGTTAACGGTGGCACAGTCTTTCTTTCTTTTCCTCCTCTCTCTCCCTCTCTTTCTCTGATGTGCAGTGATCTGCGGACTCAACTCCTCAGTGGGTCAACTGCTCATTAGCTGAACCAGCCACTGCCCCAGGGGACACCCCTCTCTTTGTGTGTATGTGTGTGAACGTATGCAAGTGTGTGTGGGAGTGCGCGTTTGTGTGTGTGTGTGTGTGTGCCCCTTTCAGATCAGGGGATCGGCTTATCACGTTTCATTGTGTCTGGCTGACTCTGCTCTCATTATAACACCCAGTCAGGGGTCCCCTTGACGCACAGGACACAAACACATCCTGTCTCACACACACACACACAACACACACACACACACACACACCACACACACACACACTCATACACACACACACCATCACTAGTAAAGCTGCAGTATTGAGCACTGAGCACAGTCAGAGCTTGCCCCAAACAACAATTCACAAATACACAACATATAAATGTCACTCTCTCCTGGGCCTACGGCTGAAGATTTGGTATTTAGCTTAACCAGTAATGAGTGCCTATCCTGCAAACACACACACACACACGCACACGCACATCCTACTTACTGTCAAAGCTCCTGTGGAGAGCATTGAAGGCAGCCTGCAGCGACCTGCCGGCCTCTCTGATCAGTCCCTCTGTCTCGCGGGAGCTCAGACCGCCAAGGTTCTCCTCCATGGTACTTGTACAACAGGTTGGACCCTGAGGACACACCCTCAGATGTTCACCTGGCAATGTGGGGAAGACACAGACTTATGAATTTAAATTTTTATTTGTATTATTTAATTAATTTACTTTAATAATTGAACATGTCAGCTATTTAACATGTGCATTTACAACCAAACCAAGCTAGCCAGGCTTAAATAACTAGTAGTTAAAGACAAAGTAATTATACAAGTGTATAGTTTATAGTAATAGTAACACTTGCGGCATGTCTCTATTGCAATGGCTGTCGCTCCACCACTTTGGTCCAGACTGAAATAACAGCTATTGGATGCATTGCCATGAAATTTAGTACAGACATTAATGGTTCCCAGAGGATCAATCCTACTGACTTTGGCGATCCTGTGACTTTTTGTCTAATGCCATCGTGGGTTTGACAGTTTTTTTACTGTTTTTGAGAGAATTGTCAATTGTTATTGGATCGATTGTCATGAAATTTTGTTCAGACATCTATGTCTCCCTCAGGATATTTGTAATAACTTAGCTGATTCCATGACTTTTTAATCAAACACACCATCATCAGGTTAACGTTTTAAGTCGTCCAATACTTGGGTTTATGACTAAATACCATCTAAACGGCCGACATTCCCATCAGCCTCAGCTGTACTTTTTTTGTAATAATTAGCAAATGTTAGAATGCTAACATGCCAAACTAAGATGGTTACACAAAACATTATATCTGCATTAGCATGCTAGCGTGCTCACATTAGTCTTGAGCTCAAAGCACTGCCGTGCCTATAAGATGCACTATATGACAATGGGAAACATCTTTCACTTTAATCTTCCCAACATTAAGAAATATTTGTCAGCATAAATATATGTATTTTATATATGTATGTATTTTAGACATATGACAGAAAATAATTGAAATGGTATTAGAAAGTGAAAATTTAAACAGCCTCTTGACCAGTAGTTCCAAATATTTTGGCTTGTGACCCCTTAAAAAGAAATGTCTGCAGTCCTAAACATTACACTGAAAATAATTTAAACGTCTAAAATTTCACAGTAATTCACAAAGATAAAAATTAGTTGAAAGTATCAAAACATTAAAAAACTGTCTGTAGCAGAAACATGTATTATTGTGCTTTCCTATATCAGTAAACATCTTGTGACCCCTGAGCTTTGTGGTTCCTGACTGCCAGGTTGGGAACAAGTCCTTCACAGCGACAGTGTAATTCTTTAATTGATCTGAAAGCTTGAAATTCCCCAAAACTGGAGTAATGAAGTTTTTGTTTGACAAAACAGTACGAAACATTACCAATGGTCAAGCAATCTGACACTTACATCTTAAACCATCAATAATTTAAAACCTTGAAAGGAACCAGTCTAGTCAATAAGGCTACTTTAACTATTAATGCTAGTGTATAATGTTCAGCTAATTATTGTTTACCTTTCCTAAATCACAATTGAAATGCTAGACTGGAGTGATTTTCCAATGTGGTTCTGCTACTTTTGTTTAGGTAAAGGATTTGAGTACCTCTCACACCACTGCATATATAATTTATTGTGCTCTTGGAATCCTTTTTTATTACTGACCAGACATGCACTCTGTACAGTATACTTTATACAGCCTCCTTTATTTATATGTAGCAACCAGGTGTTTGTTTTTTTTTCTTCGCGCACTTACACTATATGTTCTGTAGCTATATGTTAGTGAGTCTGTGCATTTGTTTTTGGACAGTATTTAGGTACACTGAGAGTCACTGACAACCAGATTGAGATCAGTGTATTCCTTTTCATTGCATTAATAAATTTAATTTTGATTCTGCACTAAAGCTAGTTGAAATTTTATTGCATGTCACTGGTTTGATTCCAGACAGTGAAGGAAGTATTGAGAGTAGCAATACCGTTGTATAAAAATACCCCATTACAAGGAAAAGTCATGCATTCAAATTTTCACTGAAGTAAAACTACAGGAGTACTTGCAAAATGGCCACAATTCTAAGTGTTATATTTATTATTCATAGATTATTGGAATAATAGTGGTGATGCAATAACATGTAAGAAGTATTTCAATGTTGTCAAGATTGAGCTTATTTTAACAACTTTTTATAATGTTGGGTAGTTTTTCTAATACATTATATTTTATAATGTTACTTTTGTTTCATATTATCAGCTTTTACATGTGTAGTTATGTGTCAGCTTACAGGACAAACCGTTTATTTCCGACCGTCTTCCCCAAAGTACAGCTGTATAGGTTGTCTATGCAAGCAGCTTATTACGATTATATATTATTACTGTAGGGCAGTGACCTCTAGTGACTGTAGTAATTATGATGGTAGTAAAACAGGAATTCAATTATGGTATTAACTAGTATCGACAAAGTCAGTGTATATGTCGTTTTTGGCGTTGTATGGCAAATTACCTATTGTGTTGTTTAGGTATGAGGACATGTTGGTTTGTTCAAACAGAAGTACAACACAGAAACTCTGCTGTGATCAATGCTGAAAATACTAAAATTGGTATTTACTGACTCTTCCTCCCTCTAGCCAATAACTAAACCCTGATCATGACAGACCCAATCTAAACTTGTTTTTTCCTATTCTTATGGGGATACTCCCACAGGGCAGAGCAAAAATAAAGATCTTTTCCCCGCACACATACATATAGACATACTTGTATACACACACACATGCACACACATACACATACACATACACATACACATTGAGCTTGCTAGACAGCCAAGAAAGCAGTCTGCAGCATCCGTCTCTAGACAGTGTGTGCGCGTGTGTGTGTGTGTGTGTGTGTGTGTGTGTGTGTGTCTACGTCTGGGAAGGTTAAGGGTGAGTAAGTACCCCACAGCTGTGCTGCTCTCACTGCTGGCTTTCTTCTTAACAGGTCCTGGGTTGGTGTGTATGCTAGTGTGTGTGTATGGGTGTGTGTGTGTGTGTGTGTGTGTGTGTGTGTGTGTGTGTGTGTGTGTGTGGGTTGGGGGGCAGAATTTGTCCACCAGGGTAAGTGGAGCAGAAGAGGAGACGCCTTCATCATCACTCCACCATGAATCTTTCATTGGCACTGGCTGGTGTGTGTGTGTGTGTGTGTGTGTGTGTGTGTGTGTGTGTGTGTTTATATGTGAGAGAGACAGAGAAGTTGGTAGCCATAATACAGGAAATTGCACCACCTTCCTTCTTTTCTCAAATCCTTTTTGGGATGTTTTAAGATGTTTTTTTGCTTTATGACAAATGCAAGAGGGAACAAGGAAAAGTGGAATATAAGTCTGAAGCTGAAGTTGAACTCTCATGCACACACTCATTCGACAGATCGACCAGGACACTCATTTAATATTCTCACTTCTTCAGTAGTCCTCAAGTGTCAAGTGCAAGTAAGTCAGTCTGAGATGAGATGCTTCACTCCTCTGAAGCCAAACACCATCAAACTAAATCACTATGAGCTAATCACACCTGTTTTTTTTACTGAGCTCATTGTTCAAAGTTGGAAAAAGCTTTTCAAAACTTAACTGCTCCTCACACTTTAGCTGTGAATTTTCACACAACTCACACAATCCTGTCAATCTTGTTTTCAGAGATAACTACTACGTCACCTCTGTGTTTATCAGTGACTGATGATGTTCCTCATCTGAGGAAAGTCTTTTGTTTTTAAAATATGCTATTGAAAATGACAAGCAGCAGCTGAACAAACTCATAATCAATTAAAATAGCAATACAATAATTACAATGATCAAAAACATTTGTCACTAGCAATGTTTTAAGTTGAACTAAAAATTCATCAGTCTATAGTTCATTGGTGTTTGTTTTATTTTGTTTACGTACTGTATTTGGTCAAAAAATGTAATTACCAAAAATACCTGTATGTATGATAGCACTCAATTTTGGTACCGACTGACAAAGTTAGTGCTGTTATTATGATGTGTAGAGGTGGAGGGAAATATCGATTCACATAAGACATCTAGACAAGGTAGGACCTGACTCAAGGCCCAATAAATTATTACAGTAATGTGATTACAGTATTTCAGAATTGCTAAAACACTAAACCCCATTTTCTGACCCCAATGCTCAGTGGCCTAAACCCATTTGTCTAATCAGTCACTCTGTAGGCAAAATCTTAAACAAGTTCAGGTAGTTAAGACACTGTTTGAAAATCTCATCCACTCTTTTTGCAAAAATCTAAACACATTCTCACTCACTAAAACACATTTTGCACTGTGATGCACTTGTGTTGCAAAATGGTAAATACATGCTGCAAAAGTTAAACACAACTACAACACAGCTGTCATCGTTTACACACAACAACTCAAAATTGTCCACACTTGTTTCTAATGATGTGATCAAATCAGTTGTCTAGAATATAAGCCAGTTCGGAGAACACAGGTGGCCCAGGTACGTTGAATGTTGATACCAACAATGGATGGAAACAATGTGAGAGGCAGAGGAGGAACAGTTCGTGTAAGAGGTGGTGGACAAGTAGGAAGAGTACGAGGACAACAAAGAGCAAGACCAAGAATAGTAATTTCAGATCAAATTCAGGCAACTGTGATAGACCATGTTCTTGTTCATGGAATGACAATGAGGGAAGCAGGACAAAGAGTACAACCCAATTTGAGCAGATTCTCTGTGGCCACCATAATCAGGACATTCAGAGAAGAGAACAGGTGAATTTTTTTCTAATTTATGCGACTGAAAGTTTACTGTATACATTTGATACAGTACATCACTTTGTCAATAGAAAGAGGACTGGGGAAAAAAGAAACAAAGATTTCCAATACATTTTACATATGAATGTGATGTCCATTACTATTGTTACTGTATGTATACATTTGTAAGTGCATTTTCCCTTTTGTAGAATTGCAAGACTACTAAATGAGGGTGGAAGACTCCTTTGTTCTCCCAACAGCAAGAGGCTCTCATTGTTGATATGGTCCGTCAAAACATTTTTGTAGATGAAGCAGGGTTCAATCTGGCAAAGAGGAGAAGGAGAGGCTGGAACATAATTGGCCAACGTGCCATTGTGGAAGTGTGGTGGCAATGTCACTCTATGTGCAGCC